TAAAGTTGGAACAGGACCTGACGGCGTTGACCCTCGGCTGCTCCAGAGGTCATCTCCTCTCAATTTGAGTTTTAACACATGCTTAAGATCCTACAAATGGCCTACACTTTGGAAACAAAGTAATGTCCCATCTCTAGAAAGGGGGAGAAATCCAGTCCAAAGAATTACCGGCCAGTTTCCTTGCTGTCAGTCATCAGCAAGATATTTGAAAAAAAAATCTTCCCACCTAAATCACCTCAACAAAAAAACATCTCCTGTCTACCCGTTATTTTGGCTTTCGGAAGAACCGCTTTGCTGCCGACCTGCTGTTACAGATGACTGCAGACTCGTCAGCTGCACTTGACCGCGGACAGCGCACTCCTGGTCCTTTTGAAAAATGATCTACTCGACAGACAAATGAGAGTAGTTCTTAATGGAAAAAACTCTGCTTACTACGATATCAAAGCAGGTGTCTCTCAAGGAAACATATTGGGCCCTCTGCTGTGGAATGTCTTCCTCAATGGCTTGCTCCACCTCATTCCTGAAGCCAACGCATTTGCGGATGATGGAATACTCTCCTTCAGGTATGAGCCCAGGGGAGCCGCCATAGAAAAACTAAATGACAGGCTCGCACAAATCTCGACTTGGGGGAAAAATGGCAGGTCTCCTTTGCCCCGAACAAAACCCAGCTTATGGTTGTCGAAAGGACACTTCACTGAGAAAAATAAGACCACAAGAGGAAATTGAAATACTGGCATCACATTCGACAAAAATGACATTCAAAAGTCACATAGAACGCTCTCTCCAGATGTTCCAAGTTATTGAATCTATTCATCATCGAAGTTTCAAATGCAAAGCAATGCAAAATCACTAAAATGAATTCATTTAATCTGTAAAAATATGATGTAATTGTTTTTCAATAAAGTATAAAGAGAGAGAGAGAGAGAGATAGAGAGAGAGAGAGAGAGAGAGAGAGAGAGAGATAAAGAGAGAGAGAGAGAGAGAGAGAGACAGACAGACAGAGAGATAGAGAGAGAAGAGAAAGGAGAGGGAGAGAGAAAAGGAGAGAGAGAGAGAGAGAGAGAGAGAGAGAGAGAGAGAGAGAGAGAGGGGGGGGGGGGGGAGAAAGAGAAAGAGAGAGGGGCGGGCCTGAAATAGCACCACTCCTAACGCCTTTCCCCTACGCCTCCTTCAGGAGCTCGGCTGCGACGGCGTGTTAGGCTCCGGGAAGCGGCTGGACTCGTGCGGGCAGTGCGGGGGCGACAACAGCACGTGCAGGGTGATCGCGGGCATCTTCTCCCGCGTCCGGATGCCCTACGGCTACAACATCATCGCCACCCTGCCCGCGGGCGCCACCAACATCACCATCCAGCACTCCAAGCCCTCCACCAACTACCTGGGTGAGTGCGAGCTCCGACCTCGGCTGCGCTTCCCTTCGGCGCGCGATTTCGAGGCGAAGGGAAGCGAAGCCGAGGCTCGCAGATAAGTCTAGAATGTGATTTTTCTCCCACTGCATTGCTGACGAAGTTGAGTTTGGCTTTGCGCGAAAAAGCGAGAGAGAGAAAGGGAGATAAATATTATAATAATAATAATAAAAAAAAAAAAAAAACGCGCGTCGACCGCAGTCTCCGCGCGCATCGCCGAGAGCAGACCGCGCCTCGCTCTCCGTGCCAGTCTGCCTTCGAGTGAGCGCGATGCGTCTAATTACTTATTCATACACGCCACTGCGGATCCGAAGACGTAGATTTTCGGTATATTTGCCTACGTTAATTTCCCTCTTTTTGCTGTTCCGACTGTATATCTCTCCTTCATGAAACATTCATGCTATTTTTGCCGCAACTGAGTGTTTGCTTGTGTGCTTCGGAGCAGTGCAAACACGGAGGATCTTGTCGATATCTTGACGACACGGAATTTTAGAGCAAGATCGGAGGGCGTTCTCGGGGGCGCTTCGCCAAGCAAACATGTTTCATAGTTCAGTATGTTTGCCGCTGCGCCGAACGGAGGGAAATGAGAATAAAACTCAGTCATTTTCACTTTTTCTTTTTCGTCTCTTTCTGTATCTGTCATTAAAAAATTATCATGGTCGTTCACGCTGCATTAAACTTGCTCTCAATATTTTATCTGAATAGAAAAGGTAAGTCTTCATATCACAACGAAGTAATCCACACTAACAATAAAATAAACCGGAGCTTCTCCAACCAGCCCTGCGACTCCAAGGCGGGGACTTCTTCATCAACGGCAACTGGGCGGTCAACGGCTCCGGCAACTACCCGGCGGCGGGCACCGTGTTCGCGTACCAGCGCCCCGAGATGTTCCTCGGCGACAAGGTGGTCGCGGCCGGGCCCCTCGCGCAGCCCGTCGACGTCATGGTCAGTGTACGCTTGCACATGAGAGAGAGAGAGAGAGGGAGGGAGGGAGGGAGTGAGAGAGAGAGAGAGAGAGAGAGAGAGAGAGAGAGAGAGAGAGAGAGAGAGAGAGAGAGAGAGAGAGGGAGGGAGGGAGGGAGAGAGGGAGGGAGGGA